AAAGTTTCTAATCTTAACATAAACTTTCTCTCAAGTTTCATAAATTCTTGTTTATCTAATTGTCTATGAACTTTACTAAAAGAGAAGTATACTAAAAATCAATCAATATGAACATAAATAAGAGTAACTGCCTAAAAAAATAGTTGAATATTGAAATTTAATTCTATTAGAATTTTGATAAGAAGTTCTTGAGAAGCAATTTGATTCTATTACATGAGAAAGAATTTGCACAATTGCACCGAACTTAAAGTCAAGTGATCTTCTATAACCAAACCATCATTATGTGATTAACTAAAAAGGGAATACTCTTAGGAAACAAACCTTGCATTTAATTTTTTAAGACTTGCATGGATCTAAAAAATTTTGGATAAGTTGATAAAGTGAATTTTGGTGAAACATCTCTAAAGTGGGAGAAAACTCTCTAAACTCTTGTAATTCATCTATGCTCAAATGCTATCCAATACATAATTTTGTCTCACAAGAAAAATGGGCAAAAAAAAAAAAACAAATTGATAAACATAATCAACCAAAACTAACGACTTGACTAAATTAGCTAACTAGACCAAAAGAAACCAATAACTTATCGAGAGTTAGTATAATATGTGGGGGTGGGGAATCAAAGATATATGTCATTTACCGTTAAGCTATGTTCATTTGTAAGAATGTCTTGGTTTTATCAAATATATATATACACACTATTGAGGCATCAAGTTTTCAAACCAAAATCATCTTACTTTCATCAAATCATTGCTAGAGATATACTTTCATCAAATTTGAACTCTCTCTTCGAAATTATCCTTAAAAATTGTTTTCACTTTTCTTCAAATTGAAGAAATTGCACAATATCCATGAAGGTTTAGGGCCAATTTGCTCTGGACTTGTGGGTGTGTTGGGCTTAAGGAAGCTCCAATCTAATGATGTCAATATCCTTCTCTTTCCCAAATAAATGGGCTTAAACTTATCTTCCATCACCACTTTAGCCCATTACAGTTCGTTTATCATAAATCAGTTGTATGCATCTATTTTAAATTCCTTTTTTCGAATATTACCAAAAAAAAAAACACTCGATTTGTATATTTAAAATACATATCAACATATGCCTCTTCTCATTTTTCCTTCTTGTA